GAAAGAATTGCGAGCACAGTTCCTCACAGAAACATGTTTCAACAAAAGTGGACTTGGCACAGATTGTTTCAAGCCAGTAGTACTTCAATGTTGTATATTAACTATGTTGTATCATATAGGGAACCTTATCAAGCCAACTTCCATTTTATGTTTTAAAGTGGGAAACAGGGAAACGTGTACTTGGGCAAGCTCCCCAAATATGACCTCTTCCCAAGACCAAGGTGACTTGGTTTTGTTTATAATAAAAAATCCAAACTCATCAATAATGACAAATTTCAGTCATATGTTTTCATCTTATTTATAATACAATTTTCTCTCTTTTCTAATTATAACATTTAACAATAAAAGTAATACACAGTATTTCTAAAATATAAACATTTCTATAGAACATATTTTTAAACTTTTAGAATAATATTGTTAATTATTTGAGAATTTCATACAATGTACTTTGATCAAATTCACCCCTCATTCATTACTTTACTCTCACATCCATCCCCATCTCCCTAGTCCATCCAACTTCATGCCTGTTTTTTTTTCCTATTTTTTGAAATTATAAAATAATCACATCATTTTCCAAGTTTCTTTTGTCCCTTTCCTCTCTCCAAATCCTTCCCTCTATCCTTCCTTGCTCACTTTGAAGATCTTCAAACTTCCACAAAATACTATAGGCAACTAAGGAATGCTGAGAGTAGAAGAAATAGTTTTCATGCCATTTTTTTTCCAACAATTTACTTGGTCTAGTTTGTACTGCTCACATACTGTTGGGTTTGGGATCATGCACTGGAGTGTGGTCAATCTTCCAGTAACCATCAACTAAATGAAAGCTGACTCTCTTCCCTGTAACTTGTCAACTGTTAATAGTGCCACAGTTAGGGTGGAAGTTCATGAATCATATCTCCTCAAACTAGAATGTTAACTGACTTGATTTTTACACAAGCAGCCACAGTTGTTATGAGTTCATGAGCACAGTGATCCTGTCATGTCTAAAAACATTTTTTTTTTTTCATCTGGTCCTCTTAGACCTTTGGCTTTTACAATGTCGTGGGCTCATCTTTTGAACTTGTTCCTCAGTCTTGGGATGGGGCCTGGTGATACAGATGACTCATTTGTGGCTAAACACTCCACTGACACTACTTATATACATATTAATATAAACTTATTGTTTGAATGAACTTGAATGAGACATAAATATTTTTTAACAAGGCTTAGAATAAGCTGGCCCTGGATATAGACATGGGTTATAAAGCTGACAATACCTCTTTAGATTAATATTAATTCAGTAGACAGTGATCTGGATCAAAACCCTTTGTATATTTGATATAAGAGGACTCTTTACTGTAGTTTGAAGGATAAAATGTTTCTCTGATTTTAACCATTTTGCTTCTCTTGATCAAAAGACATCTTGTTTCTCTCTAATAAATGCCTGGAACCTGTCTCATTTCTCAAGTTCTGGTAAAAAGGGAATCGTCTGGGTTTAAGATCAAAGTAATAAACATGGATGACCTTTGACTTTTACTATTAGGGTAAGATTAAAGATGACAGCTTATGAAACAAAATTAATTCCAATTGTAGTTTGATGGATGGATGGACTTATAGATAGAAGATGAGTAAGTAGATAGATGATAGATAGATTAGATAGATTGATTGATATATAAGTAATAGTAGATCTTTTTCCTCATCTCTCTCTCACTGTCTTTCTCTCTGCTTCTCTGTGTGTGTGTTTCTTAACTTTGTTAATTAAAAAAAAGGAATGCAAAAAAATTTTAAAAAAAGGAATGCGACTCAGTTTAATCATAACTGTATGTGTTGTGAGCATGTGATAAACATTTTGTTGTAAAGTTTAATGGATGTTAAACCTACCTTGTGGAAATTTAGAATAAATTTTGGAAAATTATGGATATGGATCAAATCTTAGATTTTATGTTTGTTGAATACATGCTCAACAGTCTAGCTATATCAACAGTTTCAGAACATTATGCTCAGGAGTACTTTAAAATACAGAAAACTGGAAGACCTCACGTGGTCAATTAATCAACATGAATTTATCACTCTGTAATTTCACTTCACTGTGATGGTAAACAGTGAATAATAGATGTGAAACTTTGGCAGGGCATTACTAACTAACAAACAGAAAAGAGGAAATTTTATAAAGAACACTTTAAAATAACTAACCTTGACCCATTAAAGCTACTGATATCATCAAAAACAAGGGGAAAAAAAATGAGCAAATGTTCCAGAGTAGATAATAATGAAACCTGAAGCTAAAATGTAACAAGTCACTTGTATTGGAAGAAAAGTGCATATTTTAAAAATTAAAATGTCATGATTAGGAAAATTTATTGAATGGGTTTGGGATGTTAGGATTAGACAGTAGATACTTTAAACATTAAACATTAATTGATGATACATTCTGATTAGTAGCTTAGGAAATAAGAGTTTGTTTTTTTTATTACCATTCTTAAATGATGCTTATGGATAAAATTTTAAAATAGATAACAAAATTATTTTAGCTGAATTAATTAGCTATGAAATAAAATTATTACAAAGTAAAAGAACTAACAAACTATAATACTCAACTATTTAAAAGTTAATATTTATGTATGTATATGATATAAATACATGAGGTATATATCACAGTTTGGCTTCAAAAATTATAATATTTCAGATTTAGAGTACATGGTCTTAAATTTATATATGTGTATATATATATATATATATATATGTATGTGTATATCTTTAAGTTTGACTTCAAGTATTACACTGTTTCAGATTTAGGGTACCTAGTCTTTCATTGAGGTGTTTGATCCATTCAGAATTGTGTTTTGTGTAGGGCAACTTCTAGTTTGACCAGCACCACTTGTTGAAGATTGTATCCTAACTCTGGCATGTATTTTTAGCTTCCGTGTAAAAAAAATCTTAAATATAGGGAGTTAGATCTGGGTCTTCAATTTGAGTCTAGTGATCAACGTATCTACTTTGAAGCCAGTACCATTCTGCTTTATTACTCTAGCTCTGTAATACAATGTGAAATCTGGAGTGGTGATATTTCCCACAGTTTTTTTGTTTTTATTTTTTTTTAAGGATTATTTTAGCTATCCTTGTTTTTGTTTCTTTGTTTGCATATGAAGTTGAAGGGTTTTCTTTTTAATTTCTGTGAAGAACTGTGTTGGAATTTTGATGAGGATGGTGTTGAATCTGTAGATTGCTTTCAGTAGGATAGACATTTTCACCAATTCCACTGATCTATGAGCATGGGAAATCTTTCCATATTCTGATGTCTTCAATAATTTCATTCTTCAGTGTCTAAGAGTATTTTTTTAACGTTTATTAATTACACTTTATTCACTTTTTATGCCCCCATAAACCTCTCCCTCCTCCCCTCCTAATCCCACCTTCTCTCCCCCTTCTTCACACATGCTCCTCCCCAAGTCCACTGATAGGGGAGGTTCTCCTCTCCTTCCTTCTGATCCTAGTCTATCAGATCTTATCAGGAGTGGCTGCATTGACATCTTTTGTGGCCTGGTAAGGCTGCTCCCCTCTCAAGGGGAGGTGATCAAAGAGCAGGCCAATCAGTTCATGTCAGAGACAGTCCCGCTTCCCATTACTATGGAACCCACTTGGACACTGAACTGCCATGGGCTACATCTGTGCAGAGCTTCTAGGTTATCTCCATGCTTGGTACTTGGTTGGAGTATGAGTCTCTGGAAAGACACCTGTGTTCACATTTTTTGGTTCTGTTGCTCTCCTTGTGGAGCTCCTGTCCTCTCCAGATCTTACTATTTCCCACTTCTTTCATTAGATTCCATGCACTCTGCCCAACAATTGGCCATAAGTCTCAGTGTCTGCTTTGATAGTCTGCAGGGCAGAGCCTATCAGAGGCCCTCTGTGGCAGGTTCCTAACTTGTTTCCTGTTTTCTTTTTCTTCTTCTTCTGATGTTCATCCTCTTTGCCTTTCAGGATGGGAATTGATCGTTTTAGTCAGAGTCCTCCCTCTTGATTAGTTTCTTTAGATGTACAGATTTTAGTAGGTTTATCCTATATTATATGTTTATAAGTGAATATATATCGTGTGTGTCTTTCTGCTTCTGGGATAGCCCACTCAGGATGATCCTTTCCAGTTCCCACCATTTACCTGCAAATTTCATGATTTCATTGTTTTTCATTGCTGAGTAATATTCCATTGTGTAAATTGTACCACAATTTCTGCATTCATTCTTCAGTTGAGGGATATCTGGGCTGTTTCCAGCTTCTGGCTATTACAAATAAAGCTGCTACAGACATGTTTGAGCAAATGTCCTTATTGTGTTCCTGAGCCTCTTTTGGACATATGCCTAAGAGTGGTATAGCTGGATCTTGAGGAAGCACTATTCCTAGTTGTCTGAGAAAGCGCCAGATTGACTTCCAGAGTGGTTGTACAAGTTTAATTCCCACTTAGAGTTTTTATTACACAAATCTTTTACTTGCTTGGTTAGATTTATCCCACAATATTTTTTGAGACTATTATGAAAAATATTTTCCCCTGATTTCCTTCTCATTCTCTTTGTCATTTTTATATAGGAAGGCTACTAATTTTTGCATGCTAATTTTGTATTTTTGTACTTTACTGAAAATGTTTATCAGCTTCAGAAGTTTCCTGGTGCGATTTTAGTCTATTTTATGCATAAAATTGAATCATTTACAAAAAAAGTTAATTTGACTTCTTCCATTCCTATCTATATCCTCTTGAAAATATTTCAGACATAGAATATTTTATAATTTTATTTTAATTAATGCATAATTTGAAAATAATAACAATATATTCAAGTCCTACAATTATGACTAATCCATAAAATTTGTGAAAAAAATAATATCTAGAATTCTTAATACATAGTTTATTTATTTATTTTTTCTAACTAATTTATTATTTATATTCAGAATCAGAAACAGTAAATTTATTTTTAAAGACAGTAGCAATAAAAGTCATTTTCTTTTTTTTTTTTTTTTTTTTTCCTCCTGGCCAGGTATCATATGTCAAAGCTATTGATATTTGGATGGCAGTATGCCTCCTTTTCGTGTTCTCAGCACTTCTGGAGTATGCAGCAGTGAATTTTGTATCAAGACAACACAAAGAACTTCTGAGATTTCGACGAAAGAGAAAGAATAAGGTAAGTAATTACTTTTATTGGGTTTAGTGGGATATCAGTTTGCAGTGCAAAGTAATTTTTTTTTTTGAGCGTGTGTATTTGGTACACAGGGGGGAGATTTAGATCAGAAACTAAATGAAATGAAATTCACTCACCTTGTTCAGTTGAAAAAAAAAGGAATAAGGATGAGTTCAGGGAAAAATTGTGGTACTGAATTATACTTAAACAGCATATCTGATGGCATGATAGATATGCTTTATCAAGGTCATTAGTATATTTCCAGGAAAAACACTGTTTATACTTCAGTTGATAAATATTCCATCTACTATTTGCAATGCTAGAATATTGCTGATGGCATTACTTAACACAGATATCGAATTTTAACTACGGAAACTATCTTTTCCTGACTGAATTAATTTGTTTCTATAAAATATCACGGAAGTATTAATATCATGGTTTGTTCTTTCTTATGCACATTTTATATTTAATTTTTTTGTTATGAAATGCTGTGGTAAACACAATCAAGTGTTATTGTTGCCTTGCTAGCATCTGATCAAAGATTTAAAAAACAATGCACTTAGAACATCATTAGGAGGTTATAGAGAGTTGTAGAAGCAATCTGCTAGCTGAATTGTCATGCAGAATCTATTTGTTCCTCTCTACTAAATCCTGTTAAGGCATCTCCCTTTATGGACACAAGATTTTAAGTAACCCTCTTTCCTTTATAATAACAGAGAACTTCTCTCAACGCAGATCTGTGGTTTTTCCCAGTGCAAATGTGCCAACCGACAACTTACAATGAAAATACTTGTTTAACACAACACTGTCAGAGTCATATAAGAGTATTGCCATAGTCCTATATACCGAGATACGTCAACAAAACGTAAATCTTAAGGACAATTGTCTGGCTTATAAAGTATGACGTTTTAATAACTTTTAAAGGCTCAATAACTTGTGAGTTATTTACTACTTATATATTTATTAAATATTTTAAAGCAGTAGACTTTGATCTATCAGCTTAAGTCCTCTTAGTGTTAAATGAATTCTAAGGCACCTGACTCTCAAAACTTAACAAAGACCTGGTAAACATCTGCAAACAACTGCTGGAAAGGAACATTACCTCTAAGAGAGTATTTTTTTGGACATAAAACAATACTCCCTTTTCCATTTGTTAAGATTGCATGAAAACTCACCATACCACTCATATGTTGAACTGTATTTTAATGAGGAGATTAACTTTTATATTTTCTTTCCACCTTAGTCTAGCCTTTAGTCACTGATGTTATTGTCCTCCTCTTCCTTCTCTTTCTGGCCCCTCTTTCTCCATCTTTTCCTTTCCTCTCCCTCCAATTCCTGCATTTGCTCCCCCTTTTCTTCTTTCTTTACCACCTCTTTTCCCTCCTCCCTTCTTCCTCATTTTCTCTCCACACTTTCTCTCTACCTCTCTTCCTTTCTCCTAGTCACTTCTTACACAGACATTTCCTGTCCTTTCTCTCATGATTCTTTGACTGAGAGAAATAGTGTAACAGAACCAAGGGCTTAAGTACATGCCTTTCTTTCCTGGTAGTGACTGATACTATTTTCCTGAACATTATTTTTTATAGCTGGGGCAATACTCGGTTTCCTTATCATTAGTATTTTATTTTAAACTTTCATTTTCCATTTTCTTTTACTTTCTTTTTCTTCCTAATCTACTGTAGCATGTTTCAATTGCAGACTACTTAGAGTAGAAGTGAGACGTATCATACGTATGTTATTTGATAGGAAAAGACTGCTAGCTCATAAGTACTCAACACTAACCATCACTGGATCATGAAAGAGACCACAGATTTAGATATTAAATTCTGGCTCATTTTTTCAAAAAAAAAAATGTTTGTGACTGAAGTGTCTTTTTACTTGATTTTACTACATGTAGGAATGAGATAAAAATATTTGATGTAATTGATGTCCATTGCTCTTTAGCTCACAGCAAAGATGTAAAGATTAATATTTTCAATGACTGTTGTTTCAGGAAAAGTTAGAAATACAAATATAATCATGGATTATCACTTTCTCATCATTACTTGAAATATTCATGAAGCACATATGATTAAGGCTAATTAAGCTTTAATGCAGAACAAAACCACTTATTTTTGGTTCATTACTTTTGGATACTTTGCAACTGCGAACATCAATGAATTTACACATGTGTATGCTAAAATGGTGTGTGTGGTTAAATCAATTGTGTAATTATATGTGACATGATCCTCTGGTTTCTCAATCGCTCTTGGTCCACTTTACCTTCCCACAGACAGAAGCTTTTGCACTGGAGAAGTTTTACCGTTTCTCAGACACGGTAAATGTCTTTCTTAACTCTAAGTAGAGGAATGTGATCATCTATAAAAAGCAGACAGCATATTCTGCTCCGAGGCAGTGTTTGGTGGGGAAACACACCCGTTTTCAGATATAAAACTATGCAAACATTTCCTTCAACTTTTCTAAGAACTATACTCTTGTCTTTCCTCATTCAACAAAAGACAAAGTTATGATGCATGTTTTTCACTGAGCTATTTAACTGGACAAAGTGATTTTAATATACATATGGACATATATCCATATATATCTTGTAATAATCTCCACAGAGGGGAAAATAATAGAACTGGAGAAAATTAACTGCAAAATAAATGGGAGCTGGTTATGGTGAAACACACGTTTAATACAAGCACTAGGGAAACAGGCAGGCAGATCTCTACGAGTTGGGCCAGCCAAACCTACAGAGCAAGTTACAGACCAACCAGAGCAGCCAGGCCAGACTCTGTCTCAAAGACAGATAGATAGATAGATAGATAGATAGATAGATAGATAGATAGATAGATAGATGATTACATACATACAAACAAACATGAAACAAACAAAAGCAGGAAGTAAGTTAGGAAATTAATTTATACTCACAATTCTAAGAACAACTGAAAATTAAGTTAAAAATGTTTTGTACATTCATTATAAGATTATGTATAGGAAATAATTTTTTCTTGAAAGTATCTTTTCACATGCACAAATAAAAATATATAAAAATAACGTAAAGACACACATCTAAGCATAATGTGTATATATCTAGGAAGAAGATCCAGAATATTGTTTCTTGGATGATTTATAAATGTACCAAAGCCAAAAATTTGATCTGTAAGATTATATTACAAATAGTCTAGTGTGCTAAATTGAAAGTTTTGGGGTACATTAAAATTTTAAAGTAGCTTCCAAGGTGATTCTGCTGTGCACCCCAGTTAAGAATCCAGCAAATGAAATAACATTAAAAGAACGTTTTTACAATTCAACTTCCTTGCATACAATCTTTGCACAGTATTATGTTAAAGTACTGTATTAGCTAGTTTTCTGTCAACTTGACACAAATTAATCATCTGGAAGGAAGTGACCTCAACTGAGAAAATGCCTCTATAAGATCCAGCTGTAGGGCATTTTCCTACATTTCCAATTATTAGTAATTGATGGGGAAGGAGCCAGCCCATTTTGGTAGTGCCATCCCTGAGCTGGTGGTCTTAGATTCTATAAGAAAGCAGGCTGAGCAAAACATAAGAACAACTCAGTAAGACACACTCCTCCATGGCCTCTGCATCAATCAGCTCCTGCTTCCCATTTCTGCCCTGCTTGAGCTCCTCTCCTGACTTCTTCAAATGATGGTCTGTGGTCTGGAAGTGTAAGCTGATTAAACCCTTTCCTCCCCAACTTGCTTTTAGTCAGAGTGTTTCATCATAGCAATAGAAACCCTAACTAAGACAAGCACTTACTGAGTTCTCCTAGAATTTATGTTCACTTAACTGGATTATTCTGTCAATCAAATTTATATCCTATTTCCCAATCCCAATATTTCTTGTTTTTATCTGTATGATTTATTGACTGTAACTATCCTATTACCATTTTTATTTCATTAAATTGAATAATCAAATATGATGATTTCAATATAGATTTATATACATATACAGTAACATATTGTAAATAATATATGCATACATAAAACCTGTCTTTTAAAACTGATAATTATATTAGTAAGTAACTCAAAATTACATAAACTACTTAATGAAAATTTGCACATTCTATTAATTATGACTTTATAAAAATTTCTGATGAAAACTTACTCTCATCTCACAATCAAGTATTTTCAACAGAAAAAGAATACAGTAATATAAACTCCTTCTTTAGAAAAATATGAATTTCCTATTTTTAACAAGTAGGATAGCGTTGTACAAATCTTATAATGGTAACTTTGACTTTTGTAAAGTGTTTTTCTCATACTATAAACCATCTGGTCTGACCAAATTCTTCATCCTCTTAAACTTCATATTTTGTTTTAAAATGCTCCAAGCAATCTAAGTTTTATAATCCACACAATCAAATTTAGACCAAATGTAAACAGTGTGTCTATTTTCATGAGCACCGGTTTACCTTTTCCTTCCACATGCTAATTTGGAAGAATAAGCAAATTTTTTTTTAAAAAAAAATTGCCTTCTTATAGACATTTTGTCACACGAAAAGATTTTACATTAGTGCAGATGGAAGACGTAGAAATGTTGCTATTATAATTTAATTTAGTATTGACATGAATGTTATATGTAGTCTTTGGGATTTTACTTCCTTTCTAGTAGAGCTGCAAAGGAACCCTCTGTCTCTTTGAAAGACTAAAAGTTTGCTCTTGCATTGAAATTTCCCCACCCCACACTGTCATAGGCTGCTGTGTGCCGATTCCCACTGCGCCATGTCATAGATGCTGTCTCCAGAGCTGAATGTGTGTGGGTGTGTGCATGATATGAAGATATTTTGGTTAAAGGTTACTATTCTTGTGTATGGAGAGATACAAAGACACTGTAGTATTTCCAAACACGCCTTTATCTGTTGAGAGCTTTGAGTGACATAGGGCTGCTTCAGCACATTTCATGTGGCTTCCCCCACATTGCCTTGATGATACAATGCTTCGCTAAGAGAAAATTCATTTGCATAATATTTTAGAACTTCTTTCTTCCCACGTATTATTTGCATATGCCAATAAAATAGGAATGAACTAGTATTATACTCAAGAAATTATGACCAAAGTTTGTGTTTAGCTAGGCCAAAGGTTATCTTTATAAAATACAGATACAATTGACTGCAATTTGAAAATTGATATAATACCTTAAAATTACCCTTTTTTGAATTTATATGTTGTCTCGGTTTAAAATAGTTCAACATAACTTCTAAGACTAATGTGTGAATTATTTTCTGTCCTGTGTTTTGTCAGCTCTACAGTCTTAAAACATGTACAACTGTATGTGTAATGTGTTAGTTGAGAAGATGAAACCTCATGGCTGAAACTATATGCAGTCATTATGTGTTTACTTCTAGATTTATTTATGCTATATCTTAGACAACATAGTCTTTAAATAGACATTTTAAGTTTTATAGATACTTAGAATTTATATATATATATATAATATACATATATATACATACATATATATATATATATATACCTTTGAAAAGTGGTTTCTCAATAATTCAAACTCAAAAAGAATTATTTTCTTTTTTTAAGTTTATCTATTTATTTATTTATTTATTTTTTAATGTATATGAGCACTCTGACTGCATGTACATACAACTGCAGGCCAGAAGATGGCATTAGACCCCAATATAGATTGGTTGTGAGCCACCATGTGGTTGTTGGGAATTGAACTCAAGACCTTTGGAAGAACAGACAGTGCTATTAACCGCTGAGCTGTCTCTCCAGCCCAAGAATTATTTTCTAAAGACTTGTAAGAGGCATTGGAATTCTATCTTCTCCAGTAATATAAAAGCATAAGGATTTTGATTGTTTTCTGAAAACAGATATTTAAAACTTATGTTCAGCAAACTTCTCGTTTGAGGGAAATACTGTTTAAATAACTATTCATGAAAATAATATTCAATAATATAGGGCTAGCAAAATTGTTCTGTAAGGGCACTTGCTAAGAATTGGAATCCTGACCCTAGTTCTATTCTCAGAACAAAGGAGGGGAGGAGAGAACTGATACCCCCAAACTGAACTCTAACCTCCATTACTGTGTTATCTATTACTGTGCTATCCCACTGAACACGCCCCCACACACACTCACGGGGAGAGGGAGTGGAGAATGAGCGGGAATTACTGGGCAAATAAATAATTGAAAGTAAAAATACCCGAAGTGATATCATCCCTTCTTACTTAAAATTAAAATGCATCGTAATTGCTTCTATCTCAAAGTTAATTAAAATAATCTTGCTGCTTTTCCACATACCACTAGTCTAATATCATATATCTTAATAAATAGTTACTAGTCATTGTAACAATTTAATAAATTTTACCAGAAGTAGGAATATATTTAAAAAAAACATCTTGTGGATTTTTATTTTTCCCTTAAGATATCTTTATGCTTTTTTTCATAATTTCCATAGATCCTGAACATTCACCTTTAAAAACTTAAAATGTTCCATTTGTTTGCCTCCTAATCATTTTGGAACAAACGTTCAATACATGAAGCATGTACTCAGCTCTAAATCAAATGCAATCTATAAAATCTATGAAAATGCAAAGCTCTCCTTCAACTAGTGTTTAAAGAACTGCATTTCAATATTTGACTTTCAATGATGGAGTACTTTTATCGACTATACTTGTATCTTCTTAATATTTATTTTTTTAAATAACAGAAACATGTACAAGTAAATTAAACATTATATTACCATCTTTCATTTGATCTCAGGCTCTCTAGGTGATAGTTTCCCCAGCAAAATAAGTAATTGTAATTACTAGCAATTTTTTTTGTTAGTTTTCTGTGGGTTGTTGTAGACTTTAAAAAACAATTCATCTTCAAATACTGATTTTCATTGGCACACCTAATTTGCTTAAAGTAAGACACAATCATAGACATTTTAACTGAGACAGTTTTTTAAATCCACACATTTCAAAGTCAACTAAGAAGAAATAAACTCAATCACCTTTCTCTGTTACTTATGCATCTGATGATAAATTTGTAAAAATTATTTAAGTAAGTAGACATTTGTAGTTACCTATTTATTGTCTAAACTGTGTGGAGAATGTCTGAAAGGTATCTACTAAGAAACACAAGGTGAAAATCATATATGTAATATTACCACCTCTTACTGTACTTCACTCTGTCTTCTAAGTTACAATAACAATACTTCCTGGTGTCTTTGGTGTTTAATGTTTTATGATCATTGAGTGGAAATTTTCATGCTTTCATGACTTTCATACCCCAAGTTTGTATTTTTAATTCATCATCGTAAAAGCCCAAAATAAGATTTTTAAAAAGTTCCTCCTGATGGTTCTTGCCT